GCCATTCGCCTTGCTGTATCCATCTGTTTGTCCATAGTCAACTTTATTTCTATTCTGAAAGCAGATTTAGCAATATTTCTGACACACAGTCCTAATAAAGATACTATTGAACAAGCAATCAAACATTATTGTGAGTTATTTGGAACACCTGAAAATCCATCAAAGTTCGCCAGCTTACCTAACGAGATAATTTTATCTACTATAATGTTAGCTGGCTGGTTTCTGTATTTGAAGTATCCAAGTCGAATGGCACTTCTATCTGCGCTTTCATTAACTGTTGTCATTATTAACGCCATCCCGACCTATTGGACGTTAGTAGGCATCTGCAGTGCTACCACAAATCCATATTCTTCGTTGCTTAACGGTGCAATTGTGCATCTATTAGGCGCTTTTGTCGTCAATATATCAATCCTGGCAGGTGCAATGAGTCTTTACAATTCCGTTACTGCAAGCAAGCGGAAAGAATAGTAGACCTGTGGTTCTATCAGTATTAGAGACATTAAAAATAGATCACGATCAAATATGCTCAATTGACTTCTTTGAACATTCATTTTAAATTTATAGTATAAAACGACATCGTATACCGGCTTTTTTTGTGTACATTGCAACTTTATTGACACATATTAGACAAAAAAAATTAGTGGATCTTACGTTTATATTTTTGTGCAAACGGACTATAACTCAGAGGCTTCGTTGCAGTTTTGTTGATTGAAAAAATTTATTTTTCAAACAATAATTTATTGTTACTGTAACATTTAAGATACTAGTGCACATTCAACCGCCAACTACGATCTTAGTGTTTGTGTAGGTACTTATCTGCTTTGATGACAATAATAGTTGGTCAGAGAGTTTATTTATGAAACTGTATTTTAAATAAATGTCAATCATACAATAGTGAAGACCTTCTAATGATTATTCTGGCATACTTTGTTGCAAGTGTTCTTGAAATGAATGAATGAAATGCAGGTAACGAATGTTGCGGTTGTCATAGACTTGTTTAAAGTATCCCAATGAGTTATTTAATATTTTAGCAAGCTAATAAAAATTATGAAAATGTTTAGTGATGAGTGCATGTAAACAATTGTAATATTTCTTATTATAGGAGGTAAGTGTCAGAAGAAGGGTATTGTATTCTCTTCGTATTCTTCGTTTCAAGAATTCTTCAAAACCTTTTTGTATTATCTCAAAAATCTCTAACACTTTGAATCTTCATCACATAAATTTAGTAACACATGTTAAACCCTCGTTATTGTCCTGAGATTTACCTGAGCTGATCCATACAAATAATCAAAAAAAAGATACTTTTGCTTTATTCAAGCTCTTCATTGGTGCAAACACAAAGGTCTAGATGCTACATATATTGAAAAGATTAAAAGTATGAAGAATGATGTTAAATTTAGTAGTAGAGTCTGTTTTTTTTTCATGAAATTAGCAACAGATATTCGATCTTTTGCCAAGCTGAATGTTTAAACCATAGTCCTTTTGTAATGTTCAGTGAATGTGTCATATGATTCAGTAGTAACAATATTATATTTTCTATCAGAATCAGAATCTGGATAATTACTGATATTATGTTCTATGTCTTTTTTATCTGCTAATAACACATCTCGAATTCGTTTTAAAATTTAATTTATGACTTGTACTCATATTATAACAGAAGAAAAATGTGAAAATGTTTATTTTTTTATTATTCTTACATTTTGACGAATAATTAAAAACTCCACACAAATAAAACTTCAAAATAATAAGAAGAGTGAGCATTGTTTTGATTAAAAAAACAAATGTCATGCCGTTTAAAGAAAATGTGAATCATTACTATCCATAATTTCTCGTAAGGATATTATACACCAACAAAATACTAGAGATTAGAGAAGAGGACTAATCCGAGACAGCAAAATCTTAATGTAGTACTACACGAAAGCTCTGAAGTAGATCTTCTTCGATTCCGCAGCGACAAGGACGGGTTAGCCTTTTACGACTGGTAGGTGTGGATGTAGATGTCGATGATCTCAAGACTGACAACGACAATCACGCCTGTGATGAAACAGGAAAAAATGATGAGTAACTATATTCTGAGATTATTCTCAGAAAATGTTATTGATAAAAATGTATAATGGAGAATTTAATCCACATGTTCGTCTTTCGTCATAATGTACGGACAACCATAAGTACATAAACTTAAATATTCATTGCGATCTATCATCTTCTCAGTAGGTACGTACAATCATGAGCTATTGAAATATCTATCAATGCTCCTAAAGGATAATCGTAGTCAAAGAGTTGTATCAACAGATTATGGTAGATTTTCATGTTGACATCTTGTATATGAATATGCCTGTTCATGAATCTATTGATTTAACACTAGACATTATCTATAAGAAGTTAACACCATTTCGTGCTCCATTCGATTGCTCATAATTGAAACAATTATTGTAACTTACTGTAATAAATGCTTCTTTCCAATTTTTAAGTAAACCATACATACAGTGTTATGAAATCGTTTTAGGTTTAACATTTATAGCTTTGATATATTAACGCCATCAAACGCTCGCCTCGTATTATTATAATTTTACACTGGGTGGATGACGTTACTTAGTAACGACAACGTTAATGGCGTCTTCTTTTATTGTTGAAAACAAATTTAACTTGTAAAAAGAACTACTCATATGACTACAAAAGAGCTGCTCATTCCCAATCGACAATTAGTTCCCAATCCTCGTCCGTTGTCCGCACAGGTGATCACAACAAAATCGTTCTCATGGGGAAGAGTTATAACATTCTTTGTATGTGCATTTATTGTGACTTATTTACTGTTCACAGCCTATGGTCTGATCTGGCTTGCTCTTCAGTCCGATGCTAATACAGAAAAATCACTTAACCAAGTTCGTTGCTGTCCATGTCAAGTGAACATAACATGGGATGAAGAACAATTTGGCTTCAAGACAGATTCAGCGTGTGATGCACGCAAATCGGGATATTGGAATTGTCGACTTCATCACGGAGCCAAAGGATGTTATCGTCGCAAGTCGACAACAAGTGCTGCAGGCGCACAATGTTGTTATGATAACGAAGGTAGATGGATAGCTGACTGGAGAAAAGGAGCTGGTACGCTCGATTTCTACAATCCCGAGACTTGGAGAAATATTTCTACATATCAACATTTCTTCTCTGATGCTCTCTCTTATTTTTCATGTTGTATTGGCATAAATAGGATATTCAATTCTTGTGAGCAGTACATGAAGTATCGACCTCCTGGTAAATGTGAAGATGTATTACTAACGCGTACATACGTGGATGCAGATTCGCATTTATCGACATTGAAGATAAATTCGTGTAAACCTAATGGATATGGTCGAGACAGTTTACTCAAATCTTTCGATACCCAACTCGAACTTCAAGTGAATCATCCATCATAAATAGAAGCCTCTGAGCTTTAAAAACTGTTCAGAACCTTCAAAAAAGACGTGTATTACGAGGAGGATTGATATCAAGACTCCGATAGTGCATATCTAACTAATTGCAGCTTTCATTCGGTGAACATGTGAGTGTGTGGCTGTAACTCTTCTGTTGACGTACCGCACGAACACGTCTTATAGTCACATCCACAGCGACCCTAGTTGCGAAAAAGCCGGTAAAGAGGGGAGGATTAAGGAACTGAGCCATTTGGTAATCTTTCTCTGGTTACGTAACTATCAAAGATAATATTTGAATGTATTTTATTTTTTGAGTTTCTTTAGTTTGATTAGAATCTTCAAGAGATCAATAACTATGAAAATTGTTTTTATCATAATCTTCTTCCTTAGAATGGCAGATGTTTATATCTATGATTATTCGGTTTATTGAAAACCGAACTGCACTGCATGATTTGATAACTTCTTTTGATTCGAATTTTTCGCTTCGATTACTGTTCTTTTATTGTCATAAATTCATTTATCGTTGAACACTACAGTAATCGATTAAAATACCAATCGGATTCTCATCTGTTGCTTTTTTTTTGACATATTTTCATATTTAAAGAGAGAGAGATTATGGAAGAAAATATTCGCAGAAACAATCATGTGTTAAAGAAACAATTTAAATCAATCATAAAAGCTAGCAATATAATAGTCAAAGCATGGAAATGTCAGAGAGAAGAAAATTAATATAAGATATAAGAGTTTCGAACAATCGTCTTATTATTTCTCTATACAACGACATAAAAGCGATTGCATTGACAACAGTAATAGAAGTCAACAAGTGATGGAAAAACAAAGAAGACAAAGATCAATCAACTGATATTGTAATATTGTCCATGGATTTTTCGTGGAAACAAAGAAATAGATGCTTGATGAATTTCGAGATAATTCTTCAGAAAATGTGGCATGACATTATTTGTTTCCATAATCATCACACGATCATATCGAGACCAATCGGACATGAGTGGTTCATCAAATGCGTAAGTGTAATTTTCAATTTCGTCGGATGAAATTTGTCTATCGATGCAACTATGCAAGTTTCTATTTCGATTGGTCACTTTCTCAATATGAAAAGTATATGGACCTGTGGATGCTGAACAATGTTGAAAAACGAAAGAATGATTGTTTGGATCGCCAATACCAATACGTGTATAGCGTAAAGTCTCTGAATTTTGAGAAATTCTTAAATATTTTAACAAATTGAAATGACTAGAATACAGAATGAAAAATTCAAATAAAAAATAACCTGTATTCATAAATTCTCATACTTTACATAGATATGTTGTGCTAAACTGTCTGTTTTGCATAATGTATACCCAGCAAAATGAGTACCATTGAAAGAACCAGTCTATCAATAAGTAAGAAACTAGTAGATAATATTCTATTAAATGTCTTCAGTTTACCGAACATGGAATCATGACCAAATAATATTTCACATGCATATAGCGAAAACCTAGTCGAAATGTATCTTTGTCGCCATCAGTGATATGCTATAAGAAATACAATGAATATTTTTTTAAATTTCTTTCGTCGTCAAATAATTAACTATACTTCGTAGAAAAGTTGATGATAATCATTCATTAATTTAGTCATATAGAGTCCTTTCCATACACGTGTCTTATCGACGAGTATAACGGCACTATCAAGTTCGAATTCATCTCGAGCACATGTAGTATTCAAAATGTTCCACACAGAAGGATGTTGTCGACTGAGTATAGCATCAGGAAAGAAGAGTGCACCAAAATGAAGATACATAGGATCTGATCGAAACCAATAGTCAGGATTTCGAACAAGATAAGCATCACAATCGAGAAAGAGTACTTCAGCAAATGTAGAACTAATAATAGCAGCAGGTTTATATGGAAAAGATCTGTGTGGTAGATTTGATGTGAGAGGTTTATAGATATGAGTAGGATCTAGATTCCAAACACTGGTTGTTGTTTGACATTGAGCAGTATCAAAACAACAAACACTTGCATTTAGTTTTGGAATTTCACGAAGTAATTGTATCATATAGTTATGCGATCGCTGCGATGAAGAATACCATATCTAGTAGAAACAAATGAAAACTCATTTGGACTTCTCTTTCGAAAAGAAGAGATTATCTTTTTTTACTTAGGTTATACTATTCATAGTCTAATATTCAGAGAAATCATATTGAATATAGGTTTCAACTTTTTGATTGTTAAATATAGTGATTTTTATGTACACGATAAATCGTTGAAAAACTAATAAGTTGAAAGTCCCATCGATAACAACTTTAATGCACTCTATTCAACTGTTATGTTTTTTTCGAAAGTTCTCTTACAAACTGTTTAGAATATATATGGAGACTCTTTCGTATTAAAAATTGATGGATGTGAATTAGTTTCATAGAATTCTTCTCTAAGACTACTATTTTAGAGGTATCGATTCTTTGAAATAGAAATATTTTGATCGTATAAAGCTTAAATACAAATTTCTTTATCAAGCATTACCATTGAAAATCATTGTGAATCAAAGGAATTTTCACGATAAAATATCTTCGTTTATATGAAAATGAAGCTGAACTGAATGACCAACGCTTATGACAGGTCGCATATTCTTGAAAAAGAAACCAGTATTTTAAGAAACTCAAGAACTATCAAAGATATTTCCCATCCAGCTTTTTCTTGCTGACTATGTCCTTTTCTGTCAACAACAATGTAAAAAGAATGACCTAATGTTACATTTTTATTGAATATATGATTTATTATGTGAGAAATCCTGCTGATTACTTTCTTTTAAGTCTGTATCTTGAAAGTAATAGCGTCAAACTATTAAAAATTATTTTTAAAAAGATTTCTATGATACTGTTTAAAAGTGCTATAATGGTCATTATACTTCTGTACGGGAAAACGAGACTTGCATTCTCTGAACGAACTAACCTAAGATGTAAGGTAGCGAAAATGCAGAATTTCCATAAATTTTTTTTTTCGTTTATTTATATATGGTTTGATAGAGCATGAAAAGCTGATTACGAATATATATTTTTTATTTCGATTCAATTACTGTTTGGATGAGAAAAGTGATTAAAAAGTTGAATGACTACAAATGTCATATATGCAGGTTTATAGCGCTTCTGTCACTGAAATTGTTAAATTTGAAGGACAATTATTTTGTTCAACTTTTTAAAAATATCATATTCTGAATCAGCGTGAAAAACTGAGTAAGAAAACATCATTCGATTAGATTTCAAGCTAAAAAAGGTTTAAAGAATCCTGTCCAATATACATACCTCAACATGCTCAAAAGTACGCATTCGAGACTATTCTTGTAAACCTATCTAGTTTTTTGTAACAAGAGATAGAAGTACTTGCCTTATCACATTAGAATCGTTAGATCATGGGCTACAACAGTTACTATTTTGTTTTTTTAGATTTTGTCTTATTATTGAGAAAATTGAGCTTTTTCCTTATTTGGTGGCAAAATCGGATAACAACATGAAAAATGTGCTCGTATTTAGCAGTTTTCATTATCATAGCTTAGTGAACAAGCGAAATAAATAGCATATTCGAAATCAGCATAAAAAAAAACTCCGAATTATATATGTTTTAAGAAATTTTTTTTCCGACCAAAAATTCACCTGTGGTCCCCCTCAGGTCTGTTTTTCCAAAATTTTGCCCCTGGTCCCCCAGGGGTCGATTTTTGGTCGGAAAAAATATTTCTTAAAATATATATGATTCTACGTCATTTTTGATGCTGATTTCGAATATGCTATTTATTTCGCTTGTTCACTAAGCGGGAGACCAGAATTTCGGCCCACAGAATTTTCGGCCCGGACTTTCGGCCCGGTCCGAAATTCCGGTGATTTTTCGGGCCGGGCCGAAATTCCTGGTGGACTTTCGGCCCATGACCTCATTGACCCTAAAGTAAAAAACCTGATTTTTTAAAATTAGTTGCTAGACATCGTAGTGCTGAGCAGAACGCCATAGTGCTCAGCAATATGACGTAGCGCTGAGCAGGACGCCATAGTGCTCAGTGATATGACGTAGCGCTGAGCAGAACGTCATAGTGCTGAGCGGTATGGCGTAGTGCTGAGCGGTATGGCATAGTGCTGATCGGTATGGCGTAGTGCTGAGCAGGACGTCATAGTGCTCAGCGATATGACGTAGCGCTGAGCAGAACGTCATAGCGCTGAGCGGTATGGCGTAGTGCTGAATGGTATGGTGCAGTGCTGAGCAGGACGTCATAATCTTCAGCATTATGGCGTAGGTGTGGGTGTGAGTGAAGTGTGGGGTAGTGTGGATGTTGAAGGAAGAGACATCCACACCCCATACCCTCTGCTCAGCACTATGCCATACCGCTCAGCTCTGTAACGTCTTGCTCACCACCACGCCATACCGCTCAGCACTATGACGTCTTGCTCAGCACTACGACATATCGATGAGCACTATGACATCCTGCTGAGCACTACGACGTCTAGCACCTAATTTTAAAAAATTAGGTTGTTTATTTTAGGGTCAATGAGGTCATGGGCCGAAAGTCCACCAGGAATTTCGGCCCGGCCCGAAAAATCACCGGAATTTCGGACCGGGCCGAAAGTCCGGGCCGAAAATTCCGTGGGCCGAAATTCATGGAACCCCACTAAGCTATGATAATGAAAACTGCTAAACACAAGCACATTTTTCATGCTTTTATCCGGTTTTGCCACCAAATGAGGAAAAAGCTCAATTTTCTCAACAATAAAACAAAATCTAAAAAAACAAAATAGTAACTGTTATAGCCCATGATCTGACGATTCTAATAAGATAAGACACTTGCTTCTATCTTTTGTTACAAAATACTAGATAGGTTTACAAGATTAGTCAGAAATACGTACTTTTGAGCAAGTTGAGGTATCTATATTGGGCAGGATTTTTTAAACTTTTTTCTGCTTTAAATCTAATCGAATGATATTTTCTTACTCAATTTTTCACGCTGATTCAGAATATGATATTTTTTAAAAGTTGAACAAAATAAATGTCCTTCAAATTTCACAATTTCTGTAAAAGAAGCGCGATAAAGCTCCATATGTAACATTTCTAGTCATTCGACTTTTTTAGCGCGTTTCTCAGCCAAACAGTGATCGAATCGAAATAAAAAATATATATTCGTGATCAGCTTTTCAAGCTCTATCAAACCATATATAAATGAACGAAAAAAAAATTTTATGGAAATTCTGCATTTTCGCTACCTTAATTTGAAGGTAAAGCAGTATTGAATAATTTAGAAAATACTGTTTCAAAATGCACATTGTACCTGTACAGGTAATTGTGTACCACTTAGTTCGATCATTTTCAGGCTAATTTTTTCAGATGAAGCTTGAGCAAAACCAACTGTGAGTACGATGCCTCGTCCTTCGAAATATTCTTCCGGATATGGCACAATCTGTTCACGAAGTTTTAAAAGTAATGCAGAAATATTAACTAAAACACGTGGTGGTTCGCCAACTACATCATCAGTGATATTACAGACATTAGCTGAATAATCATAAAAATTCGAATGACTTGCTAGATGTCGACGAAGTAATTCTTGTCGAAACATGAAATTGCGATTATACACATTATTTTGATATGAAGAAATGCTGGTGATATGTCGAGGGCTTCGTTCGACGGTACAGTAAAAAAGGACGATGATGCTTAGATTAATAAGAATGAGAATCTTTGACCAGGATTGTATCATGTTTAACTTAAGGTATTGTAATCTATATAGGATGATAAGGAATATAGGCAAATTGAAAACAAAAGAAAAATTTATCAATATAATTTTTTTTCTATAATGTTATCAAAAATCAAGATAGATCATAATCAATGAAAGTTCTTCTACGTTTTTCAATTTGTGTTTTAGACTAAATTTCTGAAAAACTAATTCATCTAGTCTGAAAAAATGAGTGGTCGATATGATTTTTCAAAGAACTTATCAGCAAGGTAGTTGAAATCGCAGAAAGATTTTCGTTTTTGTCTATGTTTGTCTGCTTAGTTTCCGTTCTACAATTGTAGACCTTCGATTTTTCGTTTTGCTACTTTAAACTAAACGTATTGTTGTGAAGTGTCTTTGATCATTCTCTAAGAAAAAAGGCGTTCTATCAATGTATTTTATCGCACCTGTTTTGATTTAACTTAATTTTGCATTAGAAAAATAACTCAAAGATCAGCAATGCATTGTTCTAGTACAAGAAAGCATTGATGCACAACTTGAGCTGTCGTAAAGGCAGATAAAAAGAAGCTAAGAAACATTCAATACATCACCTAATGCATGTGCAACAAATGAAACAGTTCATCTCGCCATTTTTCACATCGTCAGACTTGAAATATTTGAGGATGATGAGGTATACATTCCAAATACATATCAATAAATGATATTGTCACCGTCAGAAAGTATGATTATAAACAATATAAATTCAATATTGTGCTGTGTGTATAGATCGCTCGTTTTTCTCCTTTTTATCAAATGAGATGTGTTTAGTAGATTCTGAACTCCTTCTGCAAAGTATCTCTTTGAAAAGTGTATTCTTGCATTGGACAATGATTATAGATGAAGAGTAGAATGCAATACACTTCAGTGCAACTATGTTTTTTTTTAATCGACAGTTTGCACAGCGTGTACATAAATCGATGCTTTGTCTTTTAGTCACCTGATTGCCATGACAATTCTGTTGATTTTTTTTAAATATGAATCACACATCAAATCTGTCATTCTTTCTTTTCACTAGAAAAAGCAATAATGAATTAAATCCTAAAGCTTTTTGTTTTTTTACAAAATAAAACTTCTCTGTTCTCGTGTTATGAAAACATGAAAAAAGTTAATAAACAATTTATGTATTCTCAAAAGACACCGTTAAATTGATCATGTGTGAATAGATGTGGATTGTGTAGCAAAAGGAAAGCCAACAACTACACCTGTCATTCATGAAAACTTGGATCTAAAGCGATAGTTTTGATTATTCGGGACAAATTTAATACCACAGAATGTTCTACTTTGAAGTGCGTTTTTTTTCTTTTGAAATGAAAAGG